GGGACCCTGCACTTAGGTCCAACAATGTCAAGAAACCCAAGCTTGTGGACTTGAAAAGCCTGGGAGGATGCACCAAGTCAAGAGAGCTCGGCACTGCCTTTCTTTTCACCCAGGATGAGCTCTGCCTCCCACTCCTGCCCCACTGTGGGAGACTGCCCCGGAGCCCAGATGTGGTCATGCAGCAGAGCCCCGGTAGAACTGAATTACAGAGCCTGGAAGAGATTTTGTTACATTGCTGTTGATGGTGGTCGTGATGGTGGTGGTGTGTATGTCTGTGTGTGCGCGTGTGTGTGTGTGTGTGTGTGTGTGTGTGTGTGTGTGTGTGTGTGTAGGAAAGGATCTCAGCCTATTGCACAGTTGTTTGCATTAAGAGAAAACACAATACCTGGACTGGGGAGTTGGCTCAGAGGTTAAGGGCATTGGCTGCTCTTGCAGAAGACGTGGGTTCGAATCCCAGCACCCACAGGGCAGTTAACAACCGGGGGTAATTCCAGTTCCTGGGGATTCAACGCCCTCTTCTGTCCTCAGTGGGCACTGCATGACACGGAGTACTTGCATGCAGGCAATACACCCATACACATAAAATAAAAAACAAATCAAGGAAAGGAGAGAGAGAAAACTCAATAGAAACCAAGTCTCTAGAGTTGCACAGTGACTTTAAAAAGCTTTGAATTGTCTTTTCAGCTGAGGGTTTCATGGATGGTCCCTCAGAATTGAAACTATAGAAGACCAACCAATTCAAATTTTTAAAGCAGCATAAAATGATTTTGAAATTTTTGTTGTTTGGTAGGTACTAAGAATTTGAGCTGGTGGTAGAGCACATTTGTGATCCTAGCACTTTGGAGGTGGAGGCAGGATGATCAGGAATTCATGGTTATCCTGGTCTACAAAGTGAGTTCAATTCCAGTCTGAGTTATATGAGCTCCTGTCTCAAAAAAAAAAAAATGTTTTTTTTTTTTTGTTTTTCTTTTTTTGATGCAGCTGTTTGCAGGATGCTCCAGCTCGCATAATTTCACCCTGTGGTTGAGCAGGAAATACTTTAAAGTGCTGTCCGATCTCATGTCACACATAAGCTTTGAAACCGCAGTGACATTTGCTGAAAAAAAAATGTATGTGCCTTTTTTTGGTCAAAACTGAGCATAATTTGATTTTGTTTTGGTCACTGTAACTTTACAAAACATTTGTGTTAGGGTTGGGGGAGGGGTGAGATTCTGAGCCCCTCCCTTGTCTAAGATAAAGCTAAAGAATTCCGAAAAGAATCCCCAGGGTGGCAGAGGACTCTTAAATGTCATCCTGAGAATCCCATCCAGAGCTGTGGGGTGTGCACAGCCCAGTGCAGGTGACTAAAAGCCTGGGGGATTAGGGGAGTGGGGCAGTGAACCGATGAGAAAGTCCAGTGCCCCTAGTTGCAAGGTAAGGTTAGACATGCTTCCTCTTTTTCCTAGCCTCAGGGATATTATCCAATTAAGAGTTTCTGTGCCTCAGTTTACTCTGGTGAAATGGGTTTAGCTACTTCTCTTGGGGTTGTTGATGAGGATTTAAGGAATTCACACTGAGGAAGTACACAGGATCCCTGCAGGAAGCAGTGACATAGGAAGCTCTTATGGCTCTTACCCTGAGGAACAGAAGGGAGAGGGGCCCAGATGCAGAGCACCTTGAGCCCTTCCGGTTCACTTCCCTTGCTAGCACTCTCTTGCCTTCAGTTTTTTTATCAAAGAGGTTTACGTTGTTTGGGCTACCTGTGAATACTATGCTAGGAGGTAGCAGTTAGAGAATCTCAAGTTCAGGGCCAACCTAGACCATGCAAGGAAATTCTATGTAAAAATAAAATAAAATTGCAATTTGTTCCTCCCTCCCAATGCCTGTCATCCCACACATTTTTTCCCCTTTAGAACCTATCACCTTGTAATATATCATATAAATTACTTTTTCTAAATCTAATCTCTCTCTCTCGTATGAGAGAGAGAGAGAGAGAGAGAGAGAGAGAGAGAGAGAGAGAGACACCTATGTACCTACAGGTCAAGACATCTGTTCTATAACACACAGATTCCTTTTGATCCATTGATTTGCCCAAGTTTCTAGACCAGGGTCAAGCAATATAGTGCCTGCCTGGTGTACACTAAAATAATAAATCTATGAATAAATTCATTTAGCAAATTATTCCATACTGACTGCCTGTGGTACACAGGGCATGGGGCGATAGTGAGGAGAAATTTAACATTAGCCCTGTCCAAGGATGAGAGACCCCTCTGGGAAAGTGCCCTTTCAGGGACAGTTTTCAAAAAGGAAGCCAGCTCTGTCAGAGGTGTGAAAAGTTACTCAAAGATTGAGAGGGAGGTTTAAAGAGGTTAAAACCTTTGATAATGCTAAATTTTGCTAATTTATTTTTGTGTTTACTTGTTTGCTTGTTTATTTGTTGAGACTGGGTCTCTCAGAACCTAGGCTGGGCTCCCTCTCTTTGTAGTCTGGGATGACCTTGAACTCCTGACCCTCTTGCCTCCACCTCCAGAGTTCTGGGATTCCAGGCCTTCCACACCACACCCAATTTAGTGTTACTAATTTTGTAAACAGAATCCTCTTAAAATGAGAAGCCAATTTTTTGATGCCAATCTATCATGTTTGTCACTTTGCAAACTTTTTTTGAAAATTAAATACCAGAGGCTGGAGAGATGGCTCAGAGGTTAAGAGGCTGCTCTTCCAGAAGATTTGGGATTGATTCCCAGCACCCACATAGCAGCTAACCACCATCCTAATTCCAGTTCCAGGGGATCTGATGTCCTCTTCTGGCCTCCTCAGGCATTGCACGACATGGCTGCACTTACATACATCCAGGCAATACACTTATACACATAAAATAAAAATAGTATTTAAAAAAATTAAATACCAAAGGAGCATTGCCTTTGCTTGCTAAGAAACAAAATCTTGTTATGAGTAATCAATATGAATCATGTCTTAAACATTCACTTATAGAAAAGGAAATTCTAGTCCTTTGTTAAGCATATCAGTATAAACTTTTTCACGTCCAGTTTCTGAAATGAAATTTGGTCTGAGCCATGCTCCTGATGAAAGGGTAACTCTTAGGCAGCTCTTTTAAACTAAAGATAGGTATTTGACCAAGTTCAGCCAAACTATAGATTTGTCCTTTGACACACTCTGTCCCAAAAAGTGCTGGGTAAATCAGATACCATTTTCAGGACTGGGGCGTGGGGAGAGGAGAAGAGAGAGAAAAGAGAAGAGGGAAGAGGAATACAAGGAAGGAGAGTAAGGGGGAGGAGGGAGGGGAGGAGGGAGAGGAGGAGGACATACAAGATCATGATTTTGTTAGAACTCTAGAAGCTACAGGCTGTCTGCCTCTGGGCTAGTTAGATGTGTATTATCTTGAATCAGAAAACTTAATGTTAAAAATAGGGATTGTCAGCCTGCCATGAAGGATCTAGAAGCTGGGCATTGGTCTTGCTGCAAGCCCACAGGACCTCAGCATCCACTCCACAATGCTTTTCTCCGGTTTGGAGAGGACACAGTTTCCAGCTTGCCATAGTCCCAGCAGTATGCAGCAGGGTGGCAGGGACTCCAACTGTTTGCTGCTGTAGCAAAAAAATCCATTGTTTTCAGACAAAACTTTGCTAAGAGTGACATCATTTGAGCACTACCCAGGCAAAGGCAGTCATGGGGTAGACATAGAGGGAAGCAGACATCAGGGCAGGGAGACACAGAGGTGTTCCCTGGGGACCGTCCCCAAGGCACAAATTGCCTTTGGTTCCTGCAGGTCCTAAGGTCTACTGTTCAGCTTTTCCTCTGTTCCCCTGACAATCCTGCCCACCCATCCCCATTACTCATTTCCACTCCAGAAGAGCTTAATCGGGCCCTGTTCAGGAAGGGTGAGGTGACTTGTCCAACACTCTACACAAGCAAGAAAGAATAGAGCAAGTGTGTCCTAATGACAGTTCAGGATCTTCATCCTGGTCTCGTTAACTGTTTCCATCTCTGAACCGTAGCACACATCACTTCAATTGACAAATCAAAGCACTCAGTACCTGAAGGGTCTAGTGTCCAACAGGGGCCGTGAAGGTCTGTGCTCAGTTTCGACAACCTTTCAGGATCCATCAATGTCCTTGATGTCTCATAGCATGTCATGCAAGGATTCCAATGAGGAAAGACACCATGCCCCCAATTCTTTGTCTCCTTTCTATGTGTGTTTGTGTAAATCTTGTGAGGGAGTGTGCAATCGTGTGTGTGTCTGTGTGTGGATGCCAGGGGTTGATGTTGGGTGTCTTCCTCAATTGCTCTCCAATTTATTTTTTGAGACAGGGTCTCTCACTGAACCTGGAGCTCATCAAACCCAAATCAGCTGGTTGGCTGGATAGTGAACTTCAGGGAGCCTCCTGTCTCTGCCTCCCCAACACTGTATAACAGGCACACGATGCCACAGCCAGCCTTTTCCATTGATGCTCATGCTTATTGCTTATTCTATAAACACTTTACTGACTGGGTAATCTCACCATACTGTCTCCTTTGTATGGATGGTATAAAGGAGACCCTGGAAACCCAAAATCCTTCGGTGTAGAGGTTATAAGAGCACAGGGAGGTATCTGAGTCATGTGCACATTAGAACACAGTTTTTAGACCTCAGAATTTCAGTCATAAAATAAGTTAATGTGGTTACTCACGATAAGTTCCAACCTAGATATGTGGGACTTGTATAAGCACATAACATACATCCTCAGCATTCACTAGC